TTTCCTGATCGTGACTCAGCCATCCCCACTGTACAAGAGGCACGGGCCCGTCACACACGCAGCGCTGGCAGGACACGACCAGATCAGGGCGCTGGTACCGCGAGCACCAGCCCTGGTCACAGCGTCTTTGATCAGGCAGGGAGCCCTCACCCAGGGCTCTTCTGTAGCCGAGACCAGAGATGTCATCTCCACGTGTGGAAACTGTGGCTATCCAACAGCACCACACGTGTAACGCAGCAGAGGTGAGAGCAGCCAAGTCTCTCACCCTCTCCTGGCTGCTACTTCTCATCTCCACAACTGCCCCCGTTCCCCAGTTCTTCACCCGCTTACAAGCGGGTGACAACAAAAACAACCGTCTGCTGCCGGTCCTCTTCCCTAGAGCGTGTAAAATCCTTGTGCTCGGCTCCCTAGAACAAACAGAGCCCTGCAGCTGGCACAAGGGAAAGGGGGCTTGGGGTCTCTCAGACAAGGGTCCAGAGAGGTCCCTTGTGCTCAAAGTTGGATGTAACAACAGGAACTCTGCATGTAAGAACACCACGAGTCTCACAGGCCGGGACCACGCTGCAGCAGGAACAGACAGACTACAGCTGGGCACTGCCTCCCAAGGACAGGAAAGCGCACAGCAACAACCTCAGCACTGCCCCAGAACGGGGGCAGCAAGTTGCAACCTCGTGGCCGCAGCCAAGACACTCTCTCACGGGAGCCAGAAGAGAAAAGTGTGCAGATAAATTCCTGCTTTTGCAGGAAAAAACTAGTATCATCCCCACAGGGCGAGCGTTCACTGTAAGGCACAAGACTGCATTGACAGGAGACTGGCCCAGGATTAGAAAACAGACAGGAAGAGAGGCTACAAGACTGGGTGGGCTTTAGATCTTTCACCTTGTAATGCTCAGCCTCGTCCTCAGGCGGCTTGAGCAGCTCTTCCAGGACTCTGACTTCCTCGTTGGTGAGGTCGGCGCAGTACGGCTCCACCGAGGCCCAGAACCTGCGAGGACGGAGCAAACGGACAGTAAGGGGGGGCTGCAGAGGCACAGCGTGGGCCGCGGCAAAGGCCGACTCACACCCCCCCTTCCCTCCAGGGCACCTCTTCCCTCGGGTCCAAGCCAGCCCTCTCGCCAGGAGCTGCAAGGAAGGAAACGGATGATCCAAATGTTCCCCATGCACCTGTTTGGAGCATCATTTTTGGGAATCCGGGGAACATCAATGGGATCATCTGGGAACTCGTATTCCTGGATCTTGGGCTGCAGGTTCTTGGATTTGGGCCGACCAGGGCCAGGCCCTGTCCCGTGACCCCCTTTGCCCTCCAGCTTCTGCTTCTTGGGCTTCCCATGTTTGACAGAAGTGCCCACATCATGCTCCTTGCTCAGCTTCAGGAACCGCCGGTCACCCTTCTTGTCTTGCCAGTCTGTCAGGATCTGGAAGAGAGCAACACCATGTCATGCCACACAGCGCAGCCTGGGGACGGGCCCGCTGCCCACACCAACGGCAGCCCAACAGGCCGCCGCAGCCCCTCGGCGTGAACGAACA